AAATTATTCGTTCCAATACTTTTAAGATACTGTTGTTCCATTTCTATAATTAAATAATAAAATAATTTAATTAAATTTCATAAATAAATAAATATCGTATATATCATATAATTCATTAAACAAATGAAAATAATTTTACCTTCAGAAATTTCAAAACAAAATTGATCAGAATCAAATGCTGAATGTAAAAACATGTTTATATTATTTTAATATGTATTACAATAGAGTTTTCATTAAGCATAAAGATTGAGTGAATTACCTTGTTCTTCTATAAATATGAAATATTAATAAAAAATTATTAATAAAATATAAAATAAAATCATAAAAAAAAAAGATAAAATTGTAAATATTTACCATCAGTTGCATTCTTAGGTTGAATGGAAAATTGAATGTATATACTTTGCTGGTTTGAATTTTATAAATTTTGCTTTTGTTTTTGCTGGATCGAGTATTTTTAATTATTTGCTTATCCTTGTTTTTTGTAGAACTTGATTTAAAGAAATTTTTGAATTTTATTTTCAAATTTATAGATTGAATAGTTGATTCTTGCTGTTTATCCATTTCTTCCATTTCTTCATATAATGACTTTATTAATAATTTCATTTTATCAAATAATATATTTGCATCAGGTCTATTATCAGGATTAGCATTCCAACATTGTTTCATCAAAGTTGCATATTCTAGTGGAATATCTTCACCAATCTTTGGTCGATATCCTGAGGCTATAGCAAAAGCTAAATCTAAATCATGTTCACCGTGGGGAGTTTCACAAGTTATTACTTCCCACATTAAAATACCAATACTATATATCTCTGATTTTTTTGTATAAATTTTTCCACAGTAAACTTCAGGTGCAATATATGGTAGATTTCCATATATACTATTTAATGGCTTGTCAACTGGCCCACTCAATCCTAAATCACTAATATATCATCGCAAAGAACCATCATATAAAATATTTCCTGAGTGCAAATCTCTATGAATTATATTTCGACTATGAATACTACTTAAACAATAGGTTATATCATAAATAATTTTATATTTTTTTAATAATGTAAGCGCGCGATAATTGTCTTTTATAAAATCTCTTAAATCACTATCATAATAATGCAAAACCAACATATAATCATGAGTGGTTGGATCTTTAGTTAATCCATGACATATAGCAATTGATTCAAAGTATTATCAAGTGTAAAACTTAATGTCACCTATTGATTGTATCGTTTAGTCATATAATTAATATTCATGAAAATTAAAAAATATAAGAATAATAATTAAACTTACTTCCAATGTACATTATTGCTATTTGAAATATTTAATCTTTTAAGAATAACCTTTTGTCTTTCCAATATTTGTTTTTCTGAATTCCATTTATCATAGCATCCAACTTTCCATATTGCTGTAGAAATGGTCCTTCCGTCAGATAATTGATCATAATTAATCCATTCAATGACATATCGGGGCGAAACAATTTTTTGTTGACATTCTTGAATTAATTTATCAATTTCATCATTTCCAGACTTCCAATTTCTAAATTATTTTTTAAATATTTATGAATACAAAATTCACAATATTGGATTGTTTGTTGCCAATTCTGACAATTGTTGCATTTTTGTTTTTTTACTGAATTATCCCCAATTTTATGTTTATCAAATACTTTCTGTAATTCATCAAGTAAAAATTTCTTTTCATTATTTGTGAGAGATGAATCTTTTCTAATCTTTTTTTTTCGATGTTTTTCCTGTTGAGTAATTGTTTTATGAATATTAGAATTCAAAGATAAGTAAGTTTTATCCCAAACACTGTGTAATTTCTCATTCCAAACAATTTTTTGAGTAGTCATTTCCTATTTCATTCAAATTTAATATAATTTTATAATTTTGGAGAGGAGATAAAATTAAGATTTTAGCGTGTATTTTAAATGCCGGGTTAATATTAAAATATGCTTATATATATATAATATATTTGCGGAATAAAAATAAATTATTTCCAGAGAATTTCCTTATTACCTTATTTCTTTGCTATAGAATGCAATCACAACATATTTTCCTTTTTCATTAAATTTACCAAATTTCAAAGTTCATACATTTATCTATAGTTTCCTTAAAAGGAATTAGCATAAGGCGCTACTGACAGGGTCTTGACTAATCAGTCTCCCAGATTTACTTTTTAGTTCTTTTATGTAATTAATTGCTTTATAAATTGTATATTTATTTTAACAATATAATAAACATCCTGGAGTGAGGCTCCGTTGGTTTTTTTTTAAAAAAAATATGCATTATCTA